CAAGGCAAGGGTTTTTGAGCAATCTCGCGTGACGTCCTTGGTTGTTCATCCAGCCTATCTACTTGAGTAACCACCTCAATTAGAGTCGCTGTTCTACCATCTTCTATCAAGTTGAGTCATCCATCTTGATTCTAGGTTCCGCAATCCAAACGATTGATCATCCGTCTAGATCCTTGGGCAATCGTGCTACGTGTCTCGGAACAAGTTGACCGAGGAGCGTATCAGTTGGCTTCAAAGCTGGCTGAGGTATCAATTCGTTATATCTATTTTTCTTGTTTCATCTAGTTCGCTTTAGGGTTTTTGTGTCCGCTGCCTTGTTACTTATTGCATTGTTGAAAATCTGTCTGTGATTTGTGTGATATCTCGAAAATTAGGAGGTTGTTTGTAAAGAAAATATTAAAGTGTATTTTTTTGGGTTTGATTTAAAACCTTATTTTGTTTTAAAAGACTAGAAACCCTAAAAAATTTTAATCAAAAACCCTAATTTACTTGTGACTAACCGGTTTTCTTAAATCACTCATATTTTAATTGAAACCCTAATTTTTAATCACTGGAATTGTAAAATTCCTCACGTTTTTCTTAAAAATGCCTTTTATTTGGAAATTATTCATTTATTATGGCCTTAATACCCAATCATTCCTCAATAGGTGCAAATGAACCTAGGAAGTAGGGTTTCACTTTTCGTTTCCAAGTTAAGAGCAAATTAGGGTTTCACGTTTTCCCGTAGTATGATTATTCGGTACGGAGTGATGATCAAATTTGATAGGTAAAAGTGACTTTTGGATGGGGGAATACTATATGACTAGAAGTGATAATAATAAGTTAGTGATTATAAGCTAAAAACCCTAGTATACGCGATTTAAGAGAAATTGCGTCAAACCGACGGGTATCGATCACTACCGATTGAATCCACCACTTGACCACCACTTTCTTATCACCACATACCCTTGATATTTTTACAAAATATCCCCCCTCATACTCATCCATATGGCCAAAATTTGTGGCCAAAAATGCAAGGGAAAGAAAGAGAAATTTGCATGGCTTTGGTGGTGACAAGTGTCACCACCCTATGGCTCTTTGATTAATTTTTTTTCCTTGTTCTTTTATCCTTCATTTCAGCTTATTTTCCTTCATTCTTTCTGTCTTTTGGCTGAGCAAGGGAGAGAGAGAGAGAGCAAGAGAGAAAAATCTTCAATCCATCTTGAATCCAACCATTTGAGTGCAACCAAGGAAAACTAAACCGATTAATCACTAGGTGGAAGCTTGGGAAGCTTGAGGAACCAAAAATTCCAAGGAGAGGTGAAGGATCATCCTTGCAAGCTTGTATCTTGAGGTATAAAGGCTGATCAACCATTCTTTTTCCATTAATCATGATTAAGTTGATTATTAATGTTAGTATTGTGCTTGTGAAGCTTTTTTCAAGTGATTGTGATGATTGGATGGATGATTTTGAGTTAGGGTTTCTTTTGGGTTAGGTGTTGTATGATGTATATATATGGTATATGATCTTGTGAAGGTGAAAGTAGTGGTAGTTTCAAGGTGAAAATATGAATTATGGCTTGAAATAACAAAAATTCCAGATTTCTGGAAAATTGTGGTTCAGTTCTGCCCGATTCTATTACAGTATGTGAGAGGCCGAATTTGGCTTAGCACAAAACATGAAAGTTGTATAGAATGATGTTTTATGGTTTCCTAAAAAATTGTAACCCAATCAGAGCAATGTAGCCTGTGAAAAGACCAAAATACCCTCACTGCCCTAGGATGCATCCAGTGATCCGTTTTAGACAGTTCATCCAATTGACCGTGTCTATTCACTATGATCCATACTGATTTAGCCATTTTCCAAAACATGAAAGTTTTAGTACTTTGTCTTAGCTTTTCAACGCCTCCAAGAACGCCTTAAACGGACTTTGGTAGCTTGAGATATGGCCATTTGAAGGCAGTACGGTTAACTGACCGGTTTGTTGGAATTTGGTTCTGTGATTGGGGAATTTGACTGGGTTACACTGGAATTTGGACTAAGTGGTCTTCATCAAAATTGTAGGCCTTTGTGTTAGCTTGGAAACAGTATAAGTTTCATCCCAATTCGATAAGCGTAGCTTCGGTTGTGACCGTTACGTAAAAACACGTCAAATCTGTCTTTTGTTAGATCTCATTTACGCACATGTTGTTAACTTGATTTTGTACTCATATGACTTTGAGCCTATTGAATGGCTATTGTGATGAATTTATATTGTGTATAACTTTGGGATTGGCTGAGAAAAATAATGAAGCTTTAAATGGCTGGAAAAATTAGGTAAACACAAAGGGCGTGCTGCCCAAATTTACGCTCGAGAACTAGAGAACTATACTTGCAACTTGAGTAAGGGTTAAGAGTGAATATCACTTGAACCATCTAGGATATTTGCATCTTCTTTTACCGAGGTATATAAGTAAGGACTTGGCCGAACTTATACCCCTGAGAAATAAAATAATGACTGCTCGGAGTACGTTTTCTTTGTCACTTCGACTTAAATGGAGATTTCAAAGTTTTACGAGCAAGCATAAGTTTTACAAATATTTTACTCATAGCCTTTGGTTTAAATGTACTCTTTTCACTTCCAAAACTATACTTATACTTTGTACTAGTAGTTATTCGGATTTTCTTTGGTTCACTTAAACTTTGGAGGGGTTTAACTGTAATATTTTCTCTTGGCTATTATTAGGGTTTCTTGGCGATTGAGAGTGTTATCCGGGAGGATACTTTGGACATTATTTTGCTTAAATAGTTGAGTGTTCTATATACGTTTTGTTTCTATGACTATGTAGATTGTTGTGACTATGTGATTATTTGTGAATATTTGATTAAATGTTAATTGTTTTCTATGATTTCTCAAATGAACTTTCGCTAGGTGAGTGTGTACTTTATCGCACTCGACCTCAATAAATATGAAATTTTCGATGATTAAATGTTGCAATACTAGTTGCGCATGAATGTAAGCCTTTTGGCTGAACTGGGCCCTTGCCCTTGTTACCGATCGACTCGAGCCAGAAGCGGACTCGGTCGGGCGATTTGGTGACCTGGGTGAACGTTTGGTATACTCGAGTATTACCTTGTTGTCGGGTGGAGTCCGGCCAACGTCCGGATGGGGGTGAAAAGCCTGGCCAACGTCCAGGAAGAGGTGAATGATAATGAACGAACGAACGTAAAAAACGAGGGATTTTACTTACAAAGATGCGTTTTTTAAATAATTGGAGTAATAAGGGAATGAAAGGGGAACGAACGAACGAATTGCTCCTTGTGAGCCTGTATCCTTTTAATGAATGTATTATCATTGCTTTATATTGGACATGTTTTTTTTTGGATTATTTGTTATTACATGAGTAATGTCCTTGTTTAATTACTTGTTTCTATGTATAGAACCTCACTGAGCTTTTAGCTCATTCCTTTAGTTTTGTTTTCCTTAACAGGGGACGGCGAGCAAGGACGAGAGCTCGGTAGAGACTAGCCTAGACTAGTTTCTTTGGTTTTGTAATGGTTCTCGCCCTAGTGCTCGGCACGGGTTGGATGTATGGTGAATTGAGAACCTTTGTATATTCGATGTTTGTACTCCCTTTTGAGATAGTAATGTACATAAGTTTTGCTTTAAGTTTTGGACCGTCGTTATATTTATTCTTGTGGGTTTATTCTGGTTTTGTTTGAGGATTGAAGTGAACGACTGAGTCCCGGCGAGAGCTAGGTAGGCGGTCCGCTGACCCCTTTGGTTCGCCTTAGGGGGAGGTGGGGCTGTCACAATTTGTGTTGTTCGTTTGGCAAAAATTCTGTCCATAGTTGTGTCACAAATTTGTCCAAAACTTACTTGTTGTTTGTTGCGTCGTTAATCGCTTCTTTTTGTTCACAAATCTATCCAAGTGTGTCGCCAAATTCTGTCCATAGTGCAATTGAAATTCTGCCTTCGTGTGCCATCGTTAGTCTTAACCTGCTGTTCGAAGTGTGTTCAATTGTTGCGTCTTGAATTCTGTCCGAAGTTGAGTCGCTAGGGTTCCATCGTGCTTGGTGTCTTTCCTGTCCGAATTTTCCAATCTTGTTGTCCTTGTGTTATCCAACTTGTTTACTTGTTTTCAAATCTGAATTTTGCAAAACTTGTTGGTATTTGGTGAATCTTGAAAGAACCTACAAGAAATCTTGAGTTTCTTGATTTTCTTGACCACAATCTTGGAATTCTTGAAGTTCTTGATAACCTTCTTAAAATTTTTTGAAGAATCTTGAAGGTCTTGAAAGTTTCTTGATCGTGTGAATTGGCCGAAAGCAAATCTGGAAAATATTCCATTCGGTCAAGCATTGTGTTGTGTTTGTTCATTATAGTAAAAAAAAAAAAGAAACAAAACAGAAAACAAAAGAGAGAAAAAAAAAGAAGAGAAAGGAATCGGTTGGCCAAACAAACGAAGAGAAAAAAAAAAGAGCAACCGAATTGTGTGATTGTTGGGAGAAAAAAAATCTGATCCGCACTCCTTCTTGGAGTAGAATTTGGAACTTTCTAAAGGTTGTTACAAGAAGAAAAGGTTTTCCAAAAGATTTCCAAAGACTAACTTGTTTCCAAATTCAATTAGGAAACTAGTGGACAGCTTGGATAACTCCCCTATTTCCATTTGACTAAGCCCATTCGAATTAGGAAACTTCCACATCTCGCATTTACTTATTTCCTTTTCCATTCTCGCATACTTGCAAATCTGTACGCCTTAGGAAACTGCCAAAACCATACACTACCATGTCCAAATTGTTTCCAAATTGTGTCTTTATTTTTGGTTACTCTTGTGTGAAAGCTTGGTGAACAATTTGAGGGTCTTGTGCGGCATTTCTCAAGCTACCCGAACCGGCAAGGTAAGAATTTTTATGGTAAGACCATTAGAGTGCATTTGGAGTAAAACACGAGCGCGAGTGAAACACTTAGGGAGTGAAGTAAGGATATTTTTGTATTATTTTCTTGTTTGCTAACGCTTGGCAGGGCAAAACGAAAGACATGGAGCAAGCTAATCTAACCACCGACTACGCCATGATGTTCAACGCGATGAAATCTGAACTTAAGCAGATTAGTGAACAACAAATTGAGGAAATACACAACCGTTTTGATCAACTCTCCAAGAGATTCACGAGAGGCTCTCGATCTAGATCTCATAACCGAAATCGAAGCGGTACCAAGGGGGCAAATTATGAGGACTACTCGGCAAGTGAGGACGAAGAGAGAGCTGAGAAGCCTAAGAGGGACAGTTCTAAGGAGGTGCTTCGGGGACTTAAAATTAAAGTTCCTACCTTTCAAGGTAAGAGTGACCCTGAGGCTTACTTGGAATGGGAAGGCCGAGTTGAAATGGTCTTCGACTGCTATGATTATAGCGAGGAACAAAAGGTGAAGGTTGCTACTGTTGAGTTCACCGAGTATGCATTAATTTGGTGGGATCAAGTAAGGACTGGAAGGAGAATGAATGGAGAACCACAAGTCCGAAGTTGGCATGAACTCAAGGCAATGATGCGCAAGCGATTTGTTCCAAGCTACTATAATCGAGATCTCTATTCGAAGTTACAAACTCTCACTCAAGGCAATATGAGTGTTGAGAATTACTATAAGGAGATCGAGATGGCCATGATGAGGGCTAACATCCAAGAAGATAATGAGGCTACAATGGCGAGATTTCTTAGAGGTTTAAAACCCAAACTTCAAGAAGCTTTGGAGTTACAACATTACTTGGATATTGGTGAATTGCTTGAGTTGGCTATTAAAGCCGAAAGAGGAAAGAAACAAAGGAGCAGTGGCCGTGAACCAAAGGAGGAAAGACCACTCAAAAGGGATAAGGAGTCTATTACAGTAATTTTCTCGAGGTCTAAGGCTGTATTTGAGTCGTCTATGGAGGAGTCATGGTGAGATATTTACCAATGTCTTCTTCCAGAAAAGCCAGATGAAAGGGCCGAGGTTGAGGAAGTTGTCGTTGAAGCAGAAAAGTGGAAAGATGAAGCTGTTAATGAGAAGTGTGAGGTAACAGTTGAGAGTGCATATGAGGTAAAAGTTGAGGAAAGTGAGCTAGAAAAAGAGGTAAAAGAATCTGATAAGATGAGTGAAGCATCAAGTGAGCTGATTGCGAGTGGGAACACGAGTGTTTATAGTTTTTCTAACAATCTTAACTTTGCATTGTCCAGTGTTTCTTGTTTTGTGCAGGTTAAGCAAAGTGCAATCGCCTTGATTTTAAATTGTTCCATTCCGAAGTCACTTGGACACTTTGCGAGTTTCCATGGAGTTTGTCTTCTAGGAGCTAAATCTCTTTGGTGTCAATTAATAGAACAATGTCAATTCAAACCTGTCCACACCATTGGAGGATTGATTCGAGCACATCTTAAAAGCGGAATTCCATATTTTACTTCTTGTTCTTTGTCTAAGGTTCATTCATCATTTTTACCTTATTTTGAGCATGTTAGTAGTCCTAATTCTTGTCGTTCTTATGTAGATTTTGATGAGAAGTGTAAAGAACCAGCGCTGGATTCTCAAGTTGAATCAATTGGTGGAAGGAACATTGAAGTATCAAAGGGAGTTTTCACATTTAAATCTTGTTCTACACCTTCTTACCGTTTAACTAATGATGTCCCATTGCTTCTTTATCCAATTTCTGGTTCGAAACAAGCTGAAACTTATTTCATTTTTGTAGGTAGTAAAGTTGTCCAAAAATTTTCAGCTTTGACTAAAGAGTTGCAACCTGATTTCATGCTTGTCCAAGCTGCATGTTGCGATCTTTCATGCATATTCACACGTCCAAAAGCTAGCCACCACGAGCTCATTTTATCAACTCCAACTTGCGCAAATTCATGTGATTCGTGTGGAGTGAGCTTCACTTCATTACTGCCACTTATGTTGGGTGATGCACACAAGTGTGTCAATCAAGATCCGAATATTGTTCTTACCTCGCTGGTTCATGTTTCTACGGATGTGCAACACGATTGGTTCATTGTTCTATCTCCAGATGGGCAAGTTGTGCCAAATCAGCAACAACTAGGGCCGAATTATACCACCTTGCACAACCAGACTCGGGATTTTCCTAGCTTCAATAAGCATCATTATGAAGATCCTTATCTTGTGCACGTGAATGGTAAACTATTGCATAGTTTTATACCTATGACTACTAACTATGTGATTTATTGTGTAGGTGACAATATGACAGTCCATGCTCGAAGGCTGATTAGGGAGTTTTGGAGTGCCAAATGGAATTTTCACAAGCATTATACAAGGTGTTTCTTGTCTTGGAGAATGTCCTTGTTCAGAAGCATCATAAGGTTGTCCAGGCGACATGTGACGTGGTTGGTACTCATTCATCTAGTTTCCACATTGCTATCCTATAAGCGCACCGACTTAGAGTTCCATTTGCTTACCTACTATGGTTCCCGATCCAGGTGGAAGATGTGCAATGTTCTTCCTATCATACATATTTTTTCCCAAGATTTGAGGACAAATCCTTCTCAAGTGGAGGGGACTAATGTGTGCGCGGGAGAGGTACTTGACTCAAGGTCGAATGATGATGATCAAGTGAGAGTTCCACTTGGCCGGTTACATATGCATGGGCAAAGCGCTTCAAAAATCTTTTCAAGCCCTTGTTCGAAGTGTTCAAGACCAGCAAGGGGTCCATAGGAACATTGAAGGCTTGGACGAGGCTAATCAAGTTGTCTACACATTGATCCAAGCCAATGAGGCACCAAGTGATGCCCACGCATGTGCTTGATGAGTTGGCCGATTGTTAGCATTGTTAGTCATTTGTTTTGTTAGTTGGTTTGATCGTTATTGAGTCATTAGTTGTTAGTTGGTTTGTTAGTCGTGATTTAATTAGTAGTTTCATTAGTTATTGGAGTTAATAAGTCGGCCCATGAGTACCCAACTTCCGTTTGGTACAAATCTGATTGGAATGCCGTAAAGAGTTGGCTCTTCCTAGTTTAAGTAGGTGAGTTGTCAATCCTTACTCCAAACGGATTTGCCTTGGCTTCTAGCCTATAAAAGGCACCTCTTGTATGAGTAAAAAGTTACAAACTTTTGAGAATAAACAATACTTTTGTTGTCCCTAAAATCATGTGCAACTTTCTTACTTGCAAGGCAAGGGTTTTTGAGCAATCTCGCGTGACATCCTTGGTTGTTCATCCAGCCTATCTACTTGAGTAACCACCTCAATTAGAGTCGATGTTCTACCACCTTCTATCAAGTTGAGTCGTCCATCTTGATTCTAGGTTCCGCAATCCAAACGATTGATCATCCGTCTAGATCCTTGGGCAATTGTGCTACGTGTCTCGGAACATGTTGACCGAGGAGCGTATCATTTATATTGCGATGATGGCTGAAATTTTTGAAACCTATAAACTCTCTACCCGATTGTACCTTGGCTGGAATTTTGGAAGTTGAATCCAATTGGTTCTTGGATTTATTTTGGAAGATAAGCTGCTGATTTTTGGAGTAATTTTTGTGTATAAGCAGCTAGCAAAATCTAAATTGGATTAGTTATGTGATGACTTGGATTTGTTTACAATCCCAAGTCAACTTGGTTTCCCAAATCAAATTTGCTTTCTTGTTTCAATCCAAGAGTGATCCGACTTCTTGTTTCTCTTTTTTTTCACAACAACTCTTTCTTTCTTTTCTTTTCAAATTTGGATCAAACACTCAAGGACAAGAATTCAAGCTGCAACAAGAAACAAGAATTAGCCGCTATTTTGTTCAAGAAATAGGAACTAGGGTTTTGCAAGAATTTCAAGATTTGGAAACTTTTGTTCAAGAATTCAAGAAACCCTAATATTTTACCCAAGAACTTCATGATTTGTCAAGAAAGTATCCAAGATAATACTAGAAATTCAATATTCTTATCAATAAATTTTAGGAACTTCAAGCACTTTCAAGAACAAGATTGATCAACCATGGTTTGACACCAAAACACAAAGGCAGCCACGAATTAACTTCAAGAAACTAGTCACGAATTCAACAAGAAAAACTACTGACCAAAAAAAAAATTTTAGATGAACAATAACGATGAACAGTGCGATACAGTACCGTGAACAGTCAATTTTTTTTAAGCAACTTCAAGACTCAAGAAACAAGACAACAAGACTCCAACAAGAGATAAATTTCGAACAGCCAAGAAACAACGGACATAATTGAAACAACGAAAACTTACAAAGACACGAATAAGATTACTTGATATCATCAATCTACCTCTGATACCAAGCTGATACGAATCCGCCCAAAGGTATGAACTCATATCTCACGTAATCCCAGATCTAGATGAAGAAAATCAAGTTGATTTGCGAAATAACACTTGACCCTTCTAAACCCTAGATTGCGAATCTTGAATTGAATCTCAACCCATAGTCGAATGATCAAGTGAACCAATGTTAAAGCTAGAAGAACGCCACAACCAAGGTGTGTACTTGATTGATAAGTTCGATGAATAACTCAAGAAAATTCTCAAGTATTCAAAAAAAAGCTCTCTTGGAGCAAGAGAAAACTGATAACTCACATATTTCTAGAAAATTCTCAATAATCATAAACATTGGAAAAACTAGGCTATTTATAGCCTTACAATGACTCGAACCCTAATGTGATTTGGACTAATTTACTTGAAAACCTAATGTGATTTAGAATCACTTATTTGAAAACCTAATGTGATTTGGAATCACTTATTTGGCTAAGTCACCCACTAAGTTTCGGCCTCTTGAAGACTAATTTTGGCTAAGACTAATGCGAAAAGCCTTATTTTCTAATCAACTCTTGCTTGTTTTGGTTTGCAAAGATGTTTCGACCACTAATGAACTTGATGCATCCTTGACTAGTGCTGCCACTCACCTTTTGCAAGATTACCAAGATGTGATTCCTGAAGATATACCTAGTGGTTTGCCACCTTTAAGAGGAATTGAACATCAAATTGATTTCATTTGTGGAGCTTCACTACCTAATAAAGCACCATATAGGACTAATCCTAAGAAAACCAAGGAGCAACAAAGGCAAGTAGATGAGCTACTTGGAAAAGAGTGGATCTGTGAGAGCCTAAGTTCTTGTGCGGTACCTGTCTTACATGTACCAAAGAAAGATGGAGGATGGAGGATGTGCATGGATTGTAGAGCGATTAACGCCATTACGGTAAAGTATCGTCATCCTATACCTCGATTAGATGACATGCTTGATGAATTGCATGGTGCTATACTTTTTACTAAGATAGATTTAAAAAGTGGTTACCACCAAATTCGCATAAAACAAAACATGACTTGTATGAGTGGTTAGTTATGCCATTTGGACTAACTAATGCACCTAATACTTTCATGAGACTTACAAATCATGTTGTGCGTCCATTCATTGGTAAATTTGTGGTAGTCTATTTTGATGATATCTTAGTATATAGTAAAAGTTTAAATGAGCATGTTATGCACTTGCAAGCTATCTTAGATGTACTTCGAAAGGCAAAGCTCTACGCTAACCTTAAGAAGTGCACCTTTTGCACTAATCAACTTGTATTTTTAGGCTATGTTGTAAGTGAACAGGGTATACAAGTTGACCAAACAAAAGTGAAGGCTATAAGTGAATGGCCAACTCCTACTACTACGAGTGAGGTAAGGAGCTTTCATGGCTTGGCAAACTTCTATCGACGCTTTGTGAAGGACTTTAGCACAATTGCTGCACCACTTGCCTCCATTGTCAAGAAGAATGTGCCATTTTACTGGGGAGATGAACAAGCTAAGTCTTTCCAATTACTTAAACATAAGCTCACACATGCACCTGTTCTTAGTTTACCCAACTTTGACAAAACTTTTGAAGTTGAGTGTGATGCTTCTAGTATAGGTGTTGGAGCTGTTCTACTCCAAGAAGGTCGGCCAGTTGCTTATTTTAGTGACAAATTGAATGGAGCTTCACTAAACTACTCGACCTATGACAAGGAATTACTGGTTTTAGTTCGAGCTCTTCAAACTTGGCAACACTACCTCCGACCTCGTGAGTTCGTCTTGCGCACTGACTATGAGTCGCTCAAACAGGTCATGTTTGAACTATTATAATGTTTTGTAATTCTTAATTGCTTGAGGACAAGCAATAGTTCAAATGTGGGGGAATTTGATTAGTTTTTATCTTACCTATTTTTAGTTAGGTTTTAAGTTATGTTTTTGGTGTGTTTTAAGTAAAAATGAAAGATTTGAATTCCTTTATAAGTTAATTTTCATACAAGTAGTGTTTCTTAACCAAAACATGCAAAAGTGTGGGTTAATATGCAAGTTTATGTTGTTGTTGTTGTAGGTTTTGGTCTCATATGAATTGATTGAAGACAAAAGGAGTTTCACAGCTTTGACACATCGTGGTATTTTGGTGATATCTTGAGCTAACCATTTACCAGTCAGGGATATTTTGGTCATTTTGCACCCTACAAAATTCAAATGAGATGACTCTTGACCTATTGGAAAGCTAACTGAAAGATCTACAACTTTCACGTTTTGTTCAAGAGCTAATTTAGCCTCCATCATCAAGAAAGTCGCAGTTGAAATTGGACCAAAAACAAAGCAAAGTTGAGATTGAAGCTGAAAGTGCAAAATTGAGTGCAACGAAGATCCATGAGGCAATCCACAAGGTATAGAGTTATGGATCCCTGATTCATAGCTGCAACTTACATTTTGTTCACACAACCTTTTTGACCAATTCCTCTACAAGAAAAAAATGGCTGGAACTAGCTAGAATTGAGTTGGAGAAGTAGAAAACAGCTTTGTGTCTACATTATGAGAACATCTTCTCTTCCAAAATATCTATAAATACTCCTTAAATCTCATTCATTTGAGAAGAATGTTAGCAAGAAATAGCTCCTTGTAGTATGAAGTAGAGTAGAATAGAAGTAGAGATAGGAGTAGTTTTACCTCTACATTCATAATGAAAATTTTTTTCTTAGTTTAAGAGTTTTGAGAGAGAGGTGCAAACACTTTTGTACCAAACTTATTTGAGAGAAAAACTTGTGAAGGAATTCAAGGATTCAAGCTTCAAAATATTGAATAAGAATTCTTCTTCCTAAACTTTGTCTCTTGTTCTTATTTGCCATGCTTTTTTACAAGTTCGTTTCAGGCTTAGATGTTCTTAATATGATGTCTAGTTAAGCTTTTTTATTTGAAGTAGTTAAGGCATGATTATGCTTTTTCATGATTTGTTAGTTTGAGAACTTGTGCTTATGCTTTATGGTTGTTTGGCCATCAACTATAAATGATTTGATTCAAATTGAGCAATGAAAGTTGCCTTTAATAGATCTAAATTCTTAAACATTAGCCTTATTCTCACAAAAGTAGTGAGCAATGGTTGGTTAGATTCATATAATAACTTCATTGAGTTTATTTAACTTGTTTCTTACCTTTTCTCTATGAACATAGGTGAAGGATGATTCAAGAAATTAAAGAAATTGATGAAAGCAATTTATAGAGGAATTAGCCAAGGCGGTTTCTCTTAAATGTCCATTGGCGAAAGCAAGGACATCCATTTGGAAGTTATTCCTTGACAATTCATGAAAGCATAAGCATAAGCATAATCACCTTAACTAACTTCTAAACTTGACATAATAAGGGATTCTAATCCCTAGGATCCTCTCACCTAATCTTTAAGCAATTCTAATCTAACTTGTCTTTACTTGTATTTACTTTCTTGCAACTTACCGTCTATATGGTTGGTTTTACCACCTAATGGCTGGTTTTACATCATTTGCTTATAACTTCTTATGGCCGGTTGTACTACCTAAGTTAACTTCTAACTCTTATGGCTGATTTTACCACCAAGTTAACTTTCTTTGCTTTTACTTCCTTATACTTTGATTATCTAGATAATAAAGCAAGCGATTAAACTCAAGTGATTGCCCAACTCTAAGTCCCTGTGGGATCGACACATATTATCTCTATATACTTGCGGAAATAGAGTAATAAGGTTTTAAAATTTGTAGTGTAGTAAAATACCCTATCATTTGTCAAATTAAAACATTAGTAGATAGTAAAATTACTGATGAAGATTACTTTGCTGAATCAATGATTCAAAAGTTGAAGTTGAAATTTGATAAGTACTAGTATGAGTGCAGCTTGTTGATACTTATAGATGCTATTTTGGATCCTAGGTACAAAATGAGTGTGATAAATTATTGTTTTCTTTTAATGTATCCTCCACATGATGTGCAAGCCAATATAATAAAGGTTTAGGAAGCACTATATGATCTATATGCCAAATGTGTAGAGATGCATGCTTCAAGTTCGAGTTATACAAGAATGAGTTCTCACGTTGTAACAAAGGATCCACCAAGCAAGAGCAGCAATAATTCAAATTCAGCACCTCTTATGGGTATGAAGGAATTCCTCACTCATATTAAGACAGTGGAAAGTATTCAACCATAAAATAATGAGCTAGACATCCACTTTGAAGATGGTCTTCTCACTACCAATGAGAATTCAAATCTAGATATTGAGAATTTAGATGCTTTGAAATGGTGAAAAGACACAACAAAGTACAAGATTTTGCTTAGGATGATTGCTGATATTTTAGCCATTCCATCCACACTATAGCATTAGAAGCTATATTTAATATTGGAACTATAGTGATCGATGCCTATCATGCTTCTGTGGCACCAGAAACTGTAAAAATATTGATGTGTGCTAGTGATTGATGTCATAAGTTACACAGGGTTAAGAAAAGGGATAAAGTGAGTATGCAATTAAATTACTATATCTGCTATTTGAAATGTGTTTTACAATTGGCTTAATCTTTTTCTTTATTTTTCTTTTTGTAGAAAGCAAAGATAGCACTGAAGATTTTAATAGCTAAACCTTGATGCTATCATGTTTGAGGTTTTCTTTATATTATGTCGTAGTTCTTATAAGTCATAGATGTGATGATTTATATTTATTCCCTTTGTGGTTGTTTTGGGAGCTAGGTGTATTGTTCCTTTCTTTTTTTTGGCTACTGATTTGTTTTCGGTAGCATGTTGCTTCCATAATCTGATGACAATCTAAGACAATGTATGTTGGTTATATTTTTCTTATTTAGTGATCAAGTGGTGGCACGATGATAGCGTTTGTTCCTGCTTAATTCTAGTTTTGAAGAAATTTGAATGCTATTGATAGGGTATTTTATTATATTACAAATTTTAAAACCTTATTACCCTATTTTCTCAAGTATAGGTTTATTTATTGAGCATAGGGATAATAGGTATCGATCCCACAAGGATTTAGAGTTTGGCAATCACTTGAGTTTAATCACTTCTTTTATTATCTAGACAATCAAAGTTTAAGGAATTAAAAGCAAAGAAAGTTAGATAGGCAGTAAAACCGGTCATAAAAGTTTGCTTAGGTAGTACAATCAGGCATAAGAGTTAGAAGTTAGCTTAAATGGTACAACCGGCCATAGAAGTTATAAATAAGTAATGTAAAACCAGCCATTAGGTGGTAAAACCAACCAACTAGGCTGTAGATTGCAAGAAAGTAAATGAAAATAAAGTCAAGTTAAATTAGAATTGCTTAAAGATGAGGTGAGAGGATCCTAGGGATTAGAATTCCTTATTATGTCAAGATTAGAAGTTAATTAAGATGATTATGCTTATACTTCCATGAATTGTCAAGGAATAACTTCGAAATGTATGTCCTTACTTTCGCCAATAAACATTTAGGAGAAACCATCTTGGCTAACTCCTCTAGAAATCGCTTTCGCCAATTCCTTTAACTCCTTGAATCATCCTTTACCTATGTTCATAAAGAAAAGGTAAGAAACAAGTTAAATAAGTTCAATGAAACTATTGTATGAATCCAACCAACCATTATTTACTACTTTCGTGAGAATAAGACTAATGTTTAAGAATTTAGATCTATTAGAAGGCAACTTTCATTGCTTAACATTATCAAATCATTTATAGTTGATGGCCAAACAACTATAAAGCATAAGCACAAGTTCTCAAACTAACAAATCATGAAAAAACATAATCATCCCCTAACTACTTCAAATCAAAACGATAATAAGTTCATCTTCACCCTAAGATATGGAAAAGGTTAACTAGACATTATATTAAGAACATCTAAACGTGAAACAAACATGTAACAAAGCATAATAAATAAGAACAAGAGATAAAGTTTAGGAAGAAGAATTATTATTCAATGTCTTGAAACTTGAATCCTTGAATTCCTTCACAAGTTGATCTATCAAATAAGCTTGATACAAGAGTGTTTTCACCTCCCTCTCAAAGTTCTTAAACTAATTTTGAAAATTACAATATGAAAGTAGAGTTAAAATTACTTCTATTTCTACTTCTGCTCTACTCTATTTCACACTACAAGGTGCTATCTCTCTTGCTAATATGATTTCTCAAATGAATGAGATTCAAGGGGTATTTATAGATGTTTTGGATGAGAAGATGTTCTCATAATGTAGACACAAAGTTGTTTTCTACTTTTCCAATTCAATTTTATCTGGTTCCAGTCGTTTTTCTTGTAGAAGAATTGGTCAAAAGGTTGGTGTGAACAAAATGCAAGTTGCAGAGCAAGTTGCAGCTACAAATAAGAGATCTGCAAGGTGGATCCACAACCTGCCTGCACCTTGCGGATGTGTCTCATGGATTTTCTTTGTACTCAGTTTTGCACTTTCAGCTTCAATCTCAACTTTGCTCTGTTTTTGGACCAATTTCACCTACACTTTTCTCAATGATGGAAGTTGAATTATGTGACGCCCCCACTTCTCCCTAAGGCGAACCAAAGGGTATCCGCGGGACGCCTGCCCAGCTCTCGTCAGGACTCAAGACAATTCCCGTTCAAACTTAATGAAATACCGGCCATCACGATGATATAAGTAAGAAAGGGAGGTCACTCCCATAAATAACATTCAAACTTACATCACGAGTTCCAAAATACGTCAAGTATCCAATCCTTACATCAAGTTTTCAAAGGTTACATCAAATCCCAAAGTATACAATAATCAAGAGTCTAACCCAGTACATTAAAAACCCTAATACAAAAGTACATTCAAAAGGGGTTTCTCCGAGGTTCACTTCCAATCCTTTCCTGTTAAGGAAAACAAAACTACAGGGTGAGCAAAACGCTCGTGGGGCCAAGAACACACATGCAGGCACGTTGTTCAAGTAACAATCCCAATTTAACGAGTAGAGCGATAATATTTCAATAAATGACAATTCAAGCTAGAAAAGTAACCAGAAACAATTCAAGGATATAGGAGCTCTCAGGAGCTATTTTCCACTTGCACGATCACGAACCTCCACGAGTTGACACTCCATCAATCGGGTAGGTTTAGTCCGTAGAACTTCACTTATACTTTCCCCTTCTCACCTTACATACCTCACCGGGCCCGCAATATGTTTATAAGGC